CAGCCAGGGCTTTTAATACTTATCATACTTTAAAGATTCAGCCTCTGTCAGAGAACTAACAATTTTTAGCCTTTCAAATATGTAGCTTGTGTCAATGAAGGTATCTATATGTATTTCATATATGGTACAGAAGTGATCTTGTGTATCTCAAACTGCATTAACTGAGGCATTGACACAAGTTTCCTGAGCCTATGAAATATTGCTCATGGTGGGTGCATCTGTTTTTTTACTTATTAATTGTAATCCTTTAGCTTGTGATGGTAATTGGGATGTTCTTTTTCCATGGACCTTCGTGTATAGTCTTTGAAAACATAAATGTACTAAACAGATAGGAATCCTACTTTTTGGAAGATTAATCTGAAAAACACCTAGTCCTTTCAGCTAATGCAAAACACAGTTATTTGAAGAAACGCACTCTTCATGGGAATACTCTGTGAAAGAAGGGCCTCGGGAGGCCGCCTTCCTACTGAAGGAATAAAGTGTGGGAGAAAGGTTAATCGTAATTAGGGAACTATTTCAAATGTTTCTTGTGGAAGAGAATTAGGAGACACAGAAGGAGGTACCACAAGAGAAAGGGTGGGAGGTAAATGGAGAAGAGTGAGTGAAGAGAGCCTGGAAGGTTATTGGGTAAGCATTTTAAAGACTGTGCTTACAAAGCATTACCTCTGTCTAGAATAAAGCTTATAGGTTTCTTCTTTTTTCACTTGGATTTTTCTTTAAAATCTATTGGCTTAGAATTTTGATAAAACACATGTTAATTCTTGCATTATTTCCTGAGTATTTCATATGACTTTCAATAGGATGCTACAGTGTGCTGAGGGAAATAAAAATCTTCCAGAGCCAGTGTTGAACAAAACCCAAATTTTGCAGGCAATACCCATGCCACAAACGCTGGGCAAATTCATCCCAAAAGAGAAGTTGTGTTAGAATGCTGCTACCTTTAAAAATATGTTTTTCCCTTTTAATTCAGCTGTTTCAGATGTTTTTGGTAATCATAAATGGTTCTACCAATCCTGGAAAGTTTACTGGAGGAGGACCTGTTAGAATATGCTTCTGAAAGCTCTTTGCTGCCGCTGGGCTTTCAGCTGACTTTCAGAGGATGGGTCTTACTCTCCTTTGTGTTTTACAGCTGGCAAAAACACTTTTTAAAGGCCTAGATAGGATTATTCAGTGCATGGCAGGGAGGGCTCTAGCCCAACCAGTAATGAAATAAAGCCTTCAAAGCAGAGACACCTGTGACATACTTTTTGCCTGAGATTGAAGGGCAGAAATTGGTATACAAAACTAACCAGGATCACTAGAGCTAGTGCTCTGATGGTAAAAGGTTTGTGTGCTTTTATTTTTATTATTAATTTAGCATGTGGTTGTGATTGTCAGGTAGGCACTGGATCTGAGGTATACTCTTGGACACATTAACTGTAATAATTTCAGTGTATTGAGTAAATTAGTCATTTAGCTTCTATAATGATAAAGTAGCAAGTTGTAAATATGACTTTGCTTTAGAGAAATTTTTAATATGGGACAAACCATGTTAAATGAGGACTTCTGGCAATTCTGAGTTTTGCTCATAGAGCAAAATGAAGTAGCAAAGTAGCAAAAATGAAAAGATATCCTATTATGAAAGACTTTGCTTATTGATGTAGAGAGAGATACATATGGGCTAAGAGTCTGTCTTTCAGCTCTTCGTAGTGTTCAAGAATCCGCACAATTTTGATGTCTTTAGATAGCGATATTGGGATATTCTTGGAAGGTCATTAACTGTGACTGCAGCCACAGTATATAATTTAAGAAAGACTCTGATTTGGCAAAAGGAAAGCCTAAAACAAATAAAAATTTTTGTTGCAATGTGCCCCTAAATGGCATTAAACAGAAGAATGTGGTAAAATTAACTAATTTAAATCTTAAGGGAGAGGAAGTGCGTATAAAGATCCACCAGAGTACTATAAAATAGCAGCGGGATAATAATGGGTAAAGACAGAAAAGCAGACTGAAAACCACGGGGAAGAGAAAACCCTAGTATTGAGATGTTTGAGCTCTGGAATAGTCTACCAAATAGAGCCTTGATTGCTTGATCCATTTAAAACAGCACGAAAAAAGGATTTTTGAGTACTCCTGTCCTGGCAGTGGGGTGGGAGAACTCATTTCTTTCCAATTCCAATACAATTCAGGGATTCATAATTTCCATAACAGTTTTAAAAACAGACCAAATTAGTATTTAAATGTGCTTAGTGTGTGTAATGCCATAAGCAAACGAAACCCAGCTTTAATGACAAGTAGTAGAGATTATGAAGTATTTCTAAGCTAAAGTCATCTTCTCAGTTGCAAAATATCTTTGCTTTTATTTCTCTTCCTTGTCATAATAATCTGCCACTTCCTTAATTTAAGGTCTTTAGCCAGCAGGTGGGCAGATGGTCAGCACTTTCCACCAGGTTTGGATGATGATAGTGGCAAATCGGAGCAGAGGCAAAATGGGGAGAATGGAAGTAAGAAAGAGCAATATGTCCAGTATGTATTTCCAAGTACTCTTTGCAGAGATAAATAAGATGGCAAAGTATGCTGAATTATGAAGCCAGCCAGTAGGCACTTTATGTGCCCTAATGATTTTCTTTAATTTCTAATTAATTTATGGTTTGAAGTGTAGCGTTAAAGTTCTTTTAATAGAAAGTGTTTAAGATCTTAAAAAACATCAGAGGGAGAGTAACCGTGTGGAGTGTCTGTGATCTGTAAGCATGTAGAACACTATGTATTACCATAATTATTACTTCTTAAATGCATCCCATGCGGAATTTTAAATGACAAATTTAACTCTATAGAAACTAAAAATATGTGGTGACCTTTTTGGATTCCAGTGCAGTGCTCTTTTAGTGATTAGTAACCAAGTGATGACATCACTTAAAGCCTGACTTTCAATTACTGTTGAAAAGTAAGCACCTGATTATCAGAGAAACTAAGTAACCCTTTTCCATTCCCATGAACCAGAAGAGCGGGTGTTGTACCTCCAACAAATAAATCTAGGGCTGTAAGTACCTAACTATTGCTTGTACATTTTTCCAGGCTAGCTCATGCCCACACCTTAAATGCATGTGTGAGCCCAACCAATTCTCCCATCTTCAGATGTGGAGTCATTTGGCAACGTTGAATTCTGGTGGAAGATTCCTGTGTGAGCAGAGAGGGATGGAATGGGGTAATGCTTCTTTGCAATGGATGCCTGAGCGTTGGGCCTGCACCTTGCTGCCAGTGTTGCAGAGTTTGCAAGTTTAGTGTTACACTGATTGAGTGTAGATAACACTGTCCAAGATAATCCTGTGCAGATAAAATTGCGCAGATTTGGTGGAACTGTACCAGGCTTTGGATTCTGAAAACATCTCTAATTGCTGTTCTTTAAAAATATTGCAGAATTTCACCAAATAAATATAGAAAGGATATGTATAAATATATCAGGTTGTGTGCCTTCATCTCAGGCGGAAGAGTAAATAGTGTAAAAACAGCAACAGCTTCCAACGGTTTACACTATTCACTTTTCTGTGTCTTCTGCAAGTCGTTCAGTGGCCAGATCTTCTTATTTCTTTCTTACAGGAAACTAGTTACTACTTATTCATGCCTTCTCTTACAAAAGAAAGAGGCTTTGCTAACTGGGCCCTTAGTCAGCAGGAGGATGTCGGAATCCTAAAAGCAAAAATGATGAAAATTGAACGGCAAGAAACTTTTTGAGATCAAAGAAGGGGTGGGAAGAAGGGCCACAGTCAGAAGATGATGCTCTTGTATGACTTCTTGGGAGAAGAGGTTAATTAATGACATTGGTCAATGAGGTTCATTTGGCATGGATTTTTTTGATACATCTGCATTCTTGTAAAACATGGTGTTTCACTGAAAATGTGCTTCATATATTAAAGAAAAATGTGATGATGTCATAGCTTTGTGTGAAATAACCCTTGACAGCAAATTCTTGTCTGTACTCCCCAGAGCAACCCTGATTTTTTAGAGAATGCTCTTATCCATGTTTGTCAGGGTAGTTCCTGTAAACTCATTTTATTGGGCCTTTAATTCATTTTTAGGGCAGGCCTTGGGTGCAAGTCTGCTATATTGCTCCAGGTGAGTTGGCTGAAGGTCCTGGGAGGAAAGAGCATGTTGATTCCCCTTGTGCAGGATCCTTGGAAATGGTCAACCTGATAGTGGAGAGTGTGCAAAGATAAGAGACTCCACTTGGTGAAGCTCCACTTCAGCTATGTGAAGGGGAGCACCACCAAGAGAGAGGCATCAGGATGAAGCAAGCAGTTTTTCCTACTTGTTGACAGGGCTCCTTCAGTGCATATCTGTTGGCCGCTCGCTCAGGGCTTGTGCGTGCCGTCTCCTGTCCGACTTGTCATGAGGGAAAACAGGAAAGAACTGGGGACATTATGCAGGTGGCTAATGCAGACCAAACATCTTCTGACATGTGAAAGAGAAGATCACAGAATCCCAGAATGGTTGAGGTTGGAAGGGACCTCTACAGACCATCCAGTCCAACCCCTGCTCCAGCAGGGACACCCAGAGCAGGGGCACAGGGTGGCAGCCAGGCGGGTTTGAAGATCTCCAGAGAAGGAGCCTCCACAGCCTCTCTGGGCAGCCTGTGCCAGGGCTCTGGCACCCTCACAGCAAAGAAGTTCTTCCTCACATGGAGGTGGAACTGCCTGGGGTTCAGCTTGTACCGTTACCCCTTGTCCTGTCACCGGCCACCACAGAGAAGAAAGGATCAGAAAGGATGCAGCAGCACAGTGGCATATGGGGCACTAGAAATTATGAAATAGCTTATCTTAATTATCTTTCCAGGCAGCGTGTGTCCATGTGGCTTATAAATCGATGAGATCTACCAGGTGATAATATGGCAGAGCCCTTTCTGTTTGTTTTTCACTTTACAGTACCTTTGGTTTTGTGAAGGGATGTGAGAATGCAGAGAATTTGTTGGGTTCCTGGCCAGGGTAGACCTAAGTGCTGAAAAACTTTCTGTTCTTTTTTTCTAGGTATTGAAAAATATCACTTGGTATGCTGAACGTGTCTTAACGGAGATCTCCCTTGGAAGTCTTCTGATACTGGTTGTGATAAGAACCATCCAATACAACATGACACGGACAAGGGTAAGAGTTATATTGAACACTTACGCGCACACTGTTGAAGGTAGAAATCCACACTACCAATGCAATTTCAAACAGGACGTGGGATTTTTCTTGGTTCTGTTGCAACCAGTTGGCATCTTAAGCTATAGGAAGAAAGGATATGGGAAGATCAGCTGTGTTCACTAAACACAGTATTGAGTGCTTTTGAACATGTAGCCCAATTTCTGTATTATTATTCAATTAATTGGGTAAAATTTTTTAAACTTCATAATCCAAGTGCAGGACTACACATATAATTCTTAAAAGAATTCAGGTAAGAAGAAAAAAATCCACATAAAGACTTACATCTTTTTTTTGACCTGTATGAAGTTCTTATAGAGGAGAAATTTCAACTCTGCTGTTAGATTTTTCTTTCTTTTTAATGTAACAATGTAGTGTGACTGAGTAAGACCTTTCGGAGTTCTGATGAAGCATAACTCTTCAGCATCACAACTGTATAGCTTGTTTATGTATATAGAAATTTTCAGACATATATTTCCAAACCTTATATGAAACATAGAATGATCCTATCGTGCATTTTAAAATACTTTTAACGAATAAGGTCACAGAACCTTTTGTGCAGGAAAACAGTACAAAAAAATCTTTAAATATATTTTGATTTATAGAAGATAAGGATTTAGCATTTATGATGAAACCAACTAGAAAAGATGATTTTTGGTATATATCTGTAGTATTTCAAATTTGTTATGCTCTGATATAAAAATATATTTTAAATATGCATAGAGAAAAGAAATCCTTCACTTGTAGAAACACTGATGCGTAGTACTGCCTTTCTTGGGAAGTGAAGTCTGGAAGTCACGTAGCTGTGTCTTTAAAAAGTCGAATGTACAGCTGGAAACACTACTGTTTTTAGTATTATCACAGTAAGTTAATGGGATGATTTTAGATTAATTATTTTTTTCATTTTGAGCAGTATTCTTATCTGTTTACTTGGCCATGATCAAGATTAGTTGGTAGTGAAGACTCCTGTATAGCTGTGGAATCTAAACTTTGTCATGTTTGTGAAAAGCCTTTGCTTTGATAGACATGTCATTTAAATGCTTGTCTGGTCAAGTGATTTCAGAATTGCTAGCAAGGGCAGCAGAGCTCTGAAGTATCACATGGTAAAAGTGGAGAAGCGGGATACCTAGAGTGGTTAGAAGGTATTAGTAGGAAGGTCAACAGATGCAAAGCAGAACATTTAGGATAAGATTACAAAAGGTAGGAGAAGAAAACACCTTTCAGTAATGGTTGCATTCATGATACTGCAAATCAACATTGTTAAAGATGTAAGGGCACACACAAATATATATATGTGTGCACATGCATGTGCACGCATGTTAAAATCTCTATAAAATCACTCTTAAAAGCTTTATAGGAAACATCCCCAAGTACGCTAAGCAGTTTGCTGTGCAGCTTTCACCACTACCTACAACACAACAGATATTTATTTACTGTCTTTTGAGTGGTTTCCTTTAGCAGGTTACTCGGTGTATAGAAGGGAGAGTTTGATATATTTTTCTCCTCCCTCTTTTTTCCAACAGGACAAGTACCTTCACACAAATTGCCTGGCAGCCTTAGCAAATATGTCAGCCCAGTTCCGCTCACTTCATCAATACGCTGCTCAGAGGATCATCAGGTAAATATAAGACATCTGCAATAGAGCTCTATTTAAACTTATCTTCCTTTGCTGAAAGCCAGGAGTAGAGGAGCTTGAATTTTATATGCCTTAATAGATATGGATGAGCTAAGTAAAAGAAATTGGAACTCAGTTAACCCTGAATAAATCTGACGTGCTTCTAGAGCCTGGTTCTGTTCTGAATGCATGAACAGCACTTCTCTGAGAAATTTCTGACTGTTCGCTTAAGAGAGTAGCTCATCAGCTGCTTTTAAAATGGAACATTTTCAGTGGTTTGTAGGAACTATGCTTTTTCAGTCATGCATCAGGTTATTGCAAAGATGCCCTGTGGGGTGGTTCTCTGTAGTGCGCACACTGGGTTTTCAGCTCCATTCAGTTCTTCCTGCATGTTTGGCAAAAGATCTTTTTGTTAAATCAGAAAAAAAAAAAAGATTATTTTGTGAGAGGGTCCCATAAATACGGGCCATAGACCCTACAGCTGTAATTTTCAAGTGTTTATTTATAGTGGTAAGTTGTTATCTGCTCTGGTTCCCAAAACAGCGTAACTCTGGAGAAGTAGATATTGAAGTTGGTCATTCTCCTTTTTATTTTATATTTTTCCTGTGTTCTGCTCCAGACCACTACGTAAAGGCAGCTAACTGTGTGTACTGATATCTTTGCAGCCAACCTGCTGCACATCCCAAAGTAAACAAGGGAGGTCCTTATTAAAGCAACGTGGAGTTTTACAGAGCTTATCAAGTATAGAATGTGTGCCAGAAATAAGTGAATGGTAATTGTGTGCCTGTGCACTTTATAAAGGGCTGGGTTAACGAGAAATGCACTTTGTTCGTAAACCACGGCTGTTAGGATGTAGTTCTCTCCCTGCCCCTTGTGTTCTAGAAATGCTTGCTTCCTCGTGTGTATTTAATGTATGTTTAGCTATCCAGCATGAGTGTGTCCTGTTATTACCTTCTCCCTGCTTGGCACCCACAATTTTTTCATACCCTGGCAGCATTAATAGGTGTTCAGAGTTTGAATTAGAGGGATTTTTTTTTTCTACTTGTCTGTTGATAATGTTCCATATCTGCATATGAGACACAGAATAAGAGAATATCTGTACGTATCCTTTCTCCAATGACATGTTTGGAGTATATGTGCATTTTTTCTCATCTTTCCAAGCCTTTACTGATGCAGATTTCTGAAGTGAAGTTGTAGATTCCCCTGCCTTCTTGGATATGGATGTCATGAGATACAATACCCTGAAGCTCCCAAACTCAATCCAGTGCTTAGGGTGATGCATCATTGCCTGCTTCAGAGTTCTTTTTTTTTTTTTCCTGATTCCTTCTATTTTATTCTACTGCTCCTTCCCCAGACCTAAATGAGATGTGTTCCTCTGGTTGTATTTTGGGGCCCTGAAGAAGTGATCTAGCATAGTCTTGGTATCCTGTTATCACCAGTCAGCTATTTTGTAGTTATCCTCCAAGTTAGCAGACTTCTGCTATTCCAAATTTAAAGCTTTGGGTCAGTGAATTACGGAAGACTAAGGATGCTGTGGTGCGTTGGCGAATGAGATGGGGTGGAAGGAATAATCTCAGTGCCCTTCCACCCATCTGACCTCAGCCCTTCTGCTTTGACTGAACTGCAGCAGGAGCGTTTAGAGGCAGCAAGACTCCTTCTAGCACCTGCATTTTTCCTAATGGGCTTTCTAGGTTTCTCATATGCTGTTTTCACCATCTGTAACTGCATCTTTGGGGCACATTGACCCCCCTGAGGGTTAAGACCCATCTCAAGACCCAAAGAAGGATGTGCAATATAGTGAAATTCTCTTGCACTCCTTGCATGCAAAATGTCAACAACTCGGTGTATTCGTCTTCTGTCTAGACATGCAAAGTTAAAAAGTCCCTATAAGACTGACTGCTTGATTTTAGTGGCGAAATAATTGTGCTAATGTTCTTATTTTCAGTATAATTGCAGACGTTTGCTGTTGCTTCATGCTGTTATGTGCAGAAAGGAGGCCCTAATGGTGAATGACAGTAAACAAAGAGAAAAATTGCTGCACTTAATTATTTGTGAAATTATCAGGGGCTGCTCTTTGATTGTATAAAGAACTAATAAAGGCACATTTGAAACATAATACCCGGGAAAAATAGAGAAGTCAAAGCAAAGAAAATAGTAGTGACATATTCAAAATCCTTATTTTTTCAAAAAATGAAGGCTGTTAGTAGCAACCTTGATTACGTTCTGTACAGCATTTAGCAAAGACTTAGCATGGGGTTGGAGGCAAAGAGTTATTGCCATTAATGTTTGCAAAGGCTCAAATACTCTGAGAATTGCACTGCTTTGTCTTTATTCAGAGAGTAAGACTGTGCTTGAGGCTAACCCCACAGTGTTCCTTGGGGTAGATGGAGGATATTTGAGTTAATGACCCTGTAGCATTTGGAAAAAATAAAATAAAAATAGACACTAACGTGATGGAGGAGTGGCCTGAGCAGGGTGCTGGTTGTGTGGACCATTAGATGTTGGCAGGGTCAGAGCCCTGCGTGGAAATAATGTGAGGTTAGATACAGAAAATGGGTATGTTTATCAGCTCGAAGGAGTGGAGAATAAAAGGGCAGTATCTTTATTATAGTTCATATCGAATATGATATTTTGATGTACTCTGAAGATACTCTGCATGAATATTTTTAAATGACTGCCATTTTGTAAACAAACACTCTTTATTGCTGTATAATAGAAACTGTAATGAAAGTAGTTGACTGTAAATTTGAAACAGAACCAGAAAAACAGGAGGAGGTTTAAGGAATATACAGAGTTTTTTTTTCAAATGTTTGATATTGTCCGCAAATCCTGTTCTGCTATTAGAAGCTGTACAGCTGGACTGTAGACACAGAAGTGGCTACCAAGGTTGTGATTTAATTTGTCACTGTGTCCATGATTGCTTATAAATCCAAAGACCTTAGTGTAAAAAATGTATTAAATTCTGTAGTAAAATGTCCTGTGGGACTATGGCGTGAGGAGCAGGGAGAAGTAAGCTCCAGAGGAGCATTCCTCCTGTTAAGCTTTGCTGCAAATATAGTAGAATTTTCTTCTCAGGAGCTTTCTCATTCCCAAGCAGGCTTAAGCATCATAAGCAAAGATTTTTAAAACTGATTTCCTCTCAAGATGATTTCCTCAAGCTGAGTCGTTTATTTATGAGTTTTGGTTATCAAGAAAAGCAATAGGAATAAGTATTTGTGAGCATGTGTATTACATAAGAGATGACCTTAGTGTAAAAAATGTATTAAATTCTGTAGTAAAATGTCCTGTGGGACTATGGCGTGAGGAGCAGGGAGAAGTAAGCTCCAGAGGAGCATTCCTCCTGTTAAGCTTTGCTGCAAATATAGTAGAATTTTCTTCTCAGGAGCTTTCTCATTCCCAAGCAGGCTTAAGCATCATAAGCAAAGATTTTTAAAACTGATTTCCTCTCAAGATGATTTCCTCAAGCTGAGTCGTTTATTTATGAGTTTTGGTTATCAAGAAAAGCAATAGGAATAAGTATTTGTGAGCATGTGTATTACATAAGAGATATTTTGTACTTCCTTTTCCCAGCTTATGGAGCCTGTTAGTCACTATTATTAAATCTAACCATCACTGATGGGTGCAAGTTGCTCCATGATCCCAAAGCAGAGTATTTACTATTATTTATTATTTAGATTTTGACCCTGTCATCAGAGTGCAAGCATCTCTGTGAGAGAATAAACCACAGTATTCATAATGGAAAAAGCATTTTCCCTAAGGAAAACCTTAAAAAGAAAACAGGACTTTATTACTAAATATTTTATATAGTTCTTGAAATTATAATAGATGTAAGGCCTTTAACTTAAAGTGTACTTAGAAAGACAAGTGAATAGACAGTCATACTTCAGGCCTCACCAGGTGCTCTGATTCCTTCTGTAATGTGAGAAGCAATTCCATTTCCATGCAAGTGCTTTTCTGTAATCCTCTTCTGAGCAGAGACTACCAATTGTTACAAGCTGCATAGTCCCTTGTCTATGAAAACAGAGAATATGAGAATATTCTATAGCCTATACCTGGAATCTCAGTAAAATACAACTTCATGATGTTGGGTGATTTATATCACATTCCAACAGGCAAGAAAATTGGCAGGTTTTTGTGACACTTTTTATCACAAGCAGCTGCTGGAAATAAAAATAGATGTAATAGAAGTTTTATAATCAGGTACTGGTCAGGATGCAATTAATGCTGAATATCCTCTGCCGTAGACTGCCCTGACTTCATGTGTATGGAGAGCCTTCCCCTCTGTCTTCTGGTATCTTATTAACTGTGGAAGGGTTTGCTTATAATTTTGCAGAAACTATTTCAGCAGCATAATGTTAAAAATACCACCTGCACTGCACTTTCTGTCCTATTTGTAAAGTGCTGACACCTGTGGTGTGTTTAAGTCCCAGCAGACCATTATAGAAATACCTCCATGGATGTTGGTACTGTCACAACTGATTAGACTACCAGAGGCAGCCTGATAATATGTGAGCAGCAAGCTGCAACCAGGTGAGAAGTTGCCCGCTGCACTGAGGACATGGTTTTCCTTTGCTTGGCTTATTGGACAGGCAAACTTTTAGCAGTTTACCCAAATCAGCTGCATTTGCCCTGCTGCCCTACAATTGCTAATAAGTAAAACTGTGCAGCTCAGTGGCATATTATTGCAAGAATTCAATGTGTCACTTAAAGCCACACTTCAGTCAGCAATAATTCCTCTAATTTATTTGGAAAACGCTTTTGAGATATTTGACTTCTCTATAATTAGTCTTCTTCCTACAGCATCCTGTGATGTCTGAAGATGGATGCTTGCTGCTTTCTAAGCAGGCATGTACCACTAGAGGTTGCCATACACCTCACTAATTAAAGGCATGCACATTTAATGTTAAATGGATTTATAGAACTACTAACCTCCTTTTTCCTACTCTGTCACCACACCTATTCACATGCATGGCTGTGGACTGTTTAATACAATATATCATTTG